TGTGTGTGTGTGTGTGTGTGTGTGTGTGTGTGTGTGTGTGTGTGTGTAACATGGTTGAACCTGTACTTCAAGAAAATCACTTTAGAGGCTGAATGGAGAATGGATAAGAGTAAGGAGAGACCTAAGGCAGGCAGACCTAGCAACTGGCAAATGCAGTAGACTAGATGTGAGGTGATAAGAGCCAGCCTCAGAATGAAGGAGAAAAGGGAGCATATTGGGGAGATGTTGCAAAGGTGAAATTGATGGGTCTTGGAAACATTGGATATGGGTGGTGAGAAATATTGAGAATTCAAGGATGACTCCTAGATTTTGAGCCTGAAGGACTGGGAGGATGGTTTTACCTTCTGTAGTAATGGGGAAGGTCAGAGGGAAAAGAGGTTTTGGGGGGCTGGAATAATGAGTTCTGTTTTGGACATGTTGAATTTGTCTGCTGGACATCCATTTCAAGATGTCCACAAGGCAGTTGGAGATGCAAGATTGGAGGTCAGCAGAGAATTTGGGGCAGGATAGGTAGATTTGAAAATTATTAGCAAGAGATGGTAATTAAATCCATGTGATCTGATGAGATTATCAAGTAAAGTAGTATAAAGGGAAAAGACAAGAGAGCCAAGGACAAACCCTGTGTGACACCTGTAGTTAAAAGAGGGGATATGGATCCATCACAAGAGACAGAGAAGGAGCAGTTAGGCAGATAGAAGGAGAACTAGGAGAGAGTAGTGTCCCAAAAACCTAGAGAGAAAAGAGTATCAATTTTCTCAGTTTTGAAATCTAGATACTTGGAATGTGTTTTCCTCTTGTTAAAGCCGAGGCTTTGGAAGTAGAGATTCCAAACCCTGCCCCTCATATTCAGGCTTCTGAAGTAGTGACAGTGGTATTAACAGTAAGGGGAAAGGAGATAAAAAGACTCCATGGTCAGGAAGAGGTTCCCCTAACAACAGTAGTCTTTTGCAAATAGCGTAATTTTAAGGACTTCCTAGGTCCATAAAAGGACTTTCAATTCCAGCGCAGGAAAATGAGTCTCTAAATTTTGAGACTTTTCCCACCAACTGAGTCTTAACCGTATGCTTGTTTCAGGACTATTTTATTAATAAACTGACTGCCACACAATCACAAGGGTTAGATATTATTTGATTAACAACTGTGAGAGTATTAGCTCTGCTGAGATTGTAGAGGCAGGATCAGGCTTCTAATTGGTCCTTCTACCATGTAAAACTGGAGTCAGGAACAGGAATAAGACTGATTCATTTTGTACTTGATTATAGAAGACTGTACATCCCATCAGGAGTTCTCAAAAATAAGAAGAGTTTTAAAAAACCACAAATCATGATCAGTTACTGAAGAGCTAATTAACTTTCTCATAGCAATGATGTTTCAACTCACCCTCAGACTCTATTAAATTTGTTTCTATTTTTTTTTATCTCATCTGTCATATTCATGCCCTATTTCTTCTCTTTTCTTTCTTTTTGTCTATATTTTTGTCCCTCTTCCTCCACTTCCCTTTTTTCCTTTTTCCCTTTTCCTCTTTCTATCTTTTTCTCTATATATTTTTCTCTTCCTTTTTCCTCTCATTTATTTTCCCTTTCACATTTCCACTTCACTATCTCCCTTAAATATATACAAAATATAAGTACATTTTATAACTTTATCTTTTGAATACCATTTTAATCATGTGATTACTTTTTTTAAATGGAGTTTGAACGTTTTGTTATTTTAAAAACAAATTCCTTGATTGAGTTTTTTTTTTCAAATATATAGCCCCCAAATGATTTCTTTGTCCCACCCCCAAGTTATAGACTGGTTGCAATCTGTATTGGTGGAGGGAGTTAATAAATCATGAGTTCTGACACTGATGGAATAATAGGCCATCATTGTTGTATTGATATCTGAAGCAACATGATCAGTTCTGGGTGACACCCAAGGAAGAAGGAGGAGGAGCAAAAGGGGAGGAATTTTGCATCCTTCATATATACATACATGGATGTGTGTATACGTGTACACACATACATAAACAAGTGTGTATATTATACATATATATAATATGTGTGTATACATACATCTTTTTATCTCTATCTCTTTTTTCCTCTCTTTCTGGGTATCTTCTCTATCTTAGTTGTTGACTAACACAAAAGACAACACACACAAGAGAAATACAAAATAGGTACATGGTAATTGGGGGCGGGGGAAGAGGTAGCAGCTGGGGGATCTGAAAAGATTTCATGTAGGAAGTGGTTCTTGGCCTGAAGCTTGAAAGAGACTCTGGATTCTCAGGAAAAAAAAAGTGCATTCCAGGTATGACAGTCAGTCACAGTAAAATCACAGACTCAGCAAAGTTTTTCTTTTTTAAAAATAAAATTGATTTTAATCAATCCAGCTATGTTTAATTTTCAAAATCAAATCCACATCTTTCCTAAGCTATTTTCCCTAATACATATGGCCTAATTGTTTCTTTTGGGGCAGCTAGGAAGTGCAGCAGATAGAATGCCAGACCTGGTGTCAGGAAGACTCATTTCCCTGAATTCAAATCTGGCCTCAGACACTAGCTATGTGACTGTGGTCAAGTCACTTAACCCTGTTTGCCTCAGTTTCATCATCTATAAAATAAGCTGGAGAAGGAAGTGGCAAACCACTCCATTATCTTTGCCAAGAAAACCCCAAATGGGGTCACAGAGAGTCAGACACAACTGAAAAATGGCACAACAAACAGTAGTTGTTTCTTTAATGCCCTTTATCATGGTAAGACAAGAGAAGAGGAGTTAGGCATAAAGAAGAGTTGCAAGGACAGTTTCACTGGACTGGCATGTCCATGAATAGGAGTACTATTTAATAAGACTGGAAAAGTAAGTTGGGGACAGGTTGTGAGGGACTTTAATTGTCAAATAAAAGAACCATTGGAGTTGATTGAATGAGAGCCTGACACACACCTGTGCTTTAGGAAAATCATTTTGGCAGCTTTGAGGAGGAATTATTGGAGAGAGAAGAGGCTTGAGGCAGAGGGATCAATTAGGCAGCCTTTGCAGTAGTTTAGAGGAGAGGTGCTGAAGACCCCAAATGGGTGGTGGCTATGTGACTAGAGAGAAGGAAACAAATGTGAGAGAACATGTGGAGGCAAAAATTATAATACTCAGCAACTGACAGGTCAATAGGGGTAAAGGAGAGTGAGGAGTTGATGGTGATACCAACAGTTTGCAAACCTGAGAGACTGGAAGGATAGTGGTTCCCTTGACAAAAATAGGGGAGTTCAGAGGAAGTGTTAGTAGAAGGAGTGAGACAATGAGTTCTGTTTTGAAATTGCAGAGTTTGAATTACCTGTGCTCCAGTTCAAAGTGTCCAGTAGATGGTTGGTGATGCGGAACTGTAGCTCAGGAGAAAACTAGAGCTGGATATATAGATTTGGAGTCACCAGCACAGACATAAAATTACCAGAGAGAGCAAGTGCAGAGAGAGAATAGAAGCTGACCCAGGAGAGGGTCATCGGGTTTGCTCATAGTTGGAGGCCTGATCTTGATGATGATTCTGCAAAAGAGATTGATAAAGACTCAGACTGGTAGGAAGAGAATTAAAGAAAAAACAATTTCTTGAAAAACCCAGAGAGAAGAGAGCATTTAGGAGGAGAGGATGGTCAAACATTTCACATGCTGCAACAAGGTCAAGAAAGATGAGGACTGAGGGTGGGGGATAAACCATCAGATTTGGCAGTTAAGTGATCATTGGTATTTTTGGAGAAGGTAGTTTAGTTGAATGATGAGGTCAGAAACCAGACTAGGTTTCTATTAGTTAAAGATTTCTTTGTTACAGAAAACAACTGAGCATGGGTTTTTAAATATATTTTAACTATGACAAGTGTGGTGCTCCTCACAGTCATTTGGACAAAAATTATGCTGGATGGCAGAGATGGCCCTGGTGATCTGTGAGATCTTTTAAAATTGCAGTGTCTTCTGTGTGCTAGGTACTCAATAATTATTTATTGATTGATTGGCACTTACGACTCTGACTCAAGAATTGTGTGATAACTCTGCTGTTTTACTTACAGGGATTTAGGTAGCTGTCAGAAAATCTTCGTGAACCTAACTGTTCAAAATAGGAGTAGTGGTTGGTGTGGTGATTCCAACAAAGACCTAGCAGGGCTAGCAGATAATCACAACCAACAAACATTATATTTGGGGACAACTAGCATTCTTGTATGCCATATAGTTACCCTTCCAAACAGTACTTTAAGCCCAACACAGTGGTATAAGGTAAGCACCAATATTCTCATTGCTTTCTCTCTTCCACTATGTCCACTCCATCCTCTTTCCTACTACCAAATTTCAGTTTTGAGATAGGATTGCTAGGGAGATTGATTTAAAATCATAGGATCACAATAGATATCAAATAACTGAGACCCATGTCATATAAAGGAGTTCCACTTTTATTTATAGTGACCATTGGTAAGACATTAAGCATTTAGATCTCCCCCTCATTTAAGACTATTCCTAACATATAAGAGATAACACATGGGAAAATTTCAACAAAATTGTTTTAAAGAAAGTTGAACTCAATAAGTGCTCATTTAATAGATGAATTAACATTGTATAAAAATCATATTTTTCTTCCTTGGACATTTAAGCAGTTCAAAGCAGTGAAAAGAACACCGGTCTTTGAGTCAAGAAACTTGGGTTTGAATCTTGACATTAACACTTGGGAGCTATGTCAACTCACTTAACCTCTCTGAGTTTCAGCTTCTGCATGTATAATACCTGCACCACTACTTTTGATATATAATACCTTTTATAATACCTGTTAATAATACCTGCACCACTACTTTTCAAAGTTGTTGAAACGCAAGCACTTTGTTGTTTTTTTGTTTATTTTTAAAACTTTTTTTTATTAATTTATTTTGATTTGTCAATAATCACTTCCATATGCTTTTGAGTTTAAAATTTTTCTCCCCCTTCCTCCCCACCACCCTCCCCAAGACGGCGCACAATCTGATATAGGCTATACATTCACATTTCTATTAAACATTTTCACATTAGTGATGTTGTAAGTAAAAATTAAAACCAATAGAAGGAACCATCAGAAAGAGGAAACAAAACTCAACAGAAGAGAAAAAAAATAGCAATTCAACTTCTATAGTTCTTTCTTTGGATGTGGATAGCATTTTCCATCATGAGGTCTCTGGAGATGTCTTAGATCCTTGTATTATTGGGAAGGGTTAAGTTTATTAATATTAGTTATCGCACAACATGGCTGTTATTGTGTATAACATTCTCTTGATTCTGCTCACTTCAATCAGCATCAGACCATACAAGTCTTTCCAGGTTTTTCTGAAGTCAGCCTGTTCAGCATTTCTTATAGCACGATAGTATTTCATTACATACATATACCACAACTTGCTCAGCCATTCCCCAATTGATGGGCATCCTCACAATTTCCAATTCTTTGCCACCACAGAAAGAGCTGCTATAAATATTTTTGTACATGTGAGTCCTTTTCCCTTTTGTGTGATCTCTTTGGGATATAGCCCTAGAAGTGCTATTGCTGAGTCAAAGGGTATGCACATTTTTATAACCCTTTGGGCATAGTTCCAAATTGCTTTCCAAAATGGTTGGATCATTTCACAACTCCACCAACAATGCATTAGTGTTCCAATTTTCCCACATCTTCTCCAACATTTATCATTTTCCTGTTTTGTCATGTTGGCCAATCTGATAGGTGTGATGTGGTACCTCAGAGTTGTTTTGATTTGCATTTCTCTAATCAATAGTGATTTAGAGCATTTTTTCATATGACTATAGATGGCTTTAATATCTTCATCTGAGAACTGTCTGTTCATATCCTTTGACCATTTATCAATTGGGGAATGACTTGTATTCTTATTAAATTTGACTTAATTCTTTATATATTTTAGAAATGAGGCCCTTATCAGAGAGACTCGTTCTAAAAATTCTTTCTCAATTTTCTACCTTCCTTCTAATCTTAGTTGCATTGGCTTTGTGCAAAAACTTTTCAATTTAATATAATCAAAATTATCCATTTTGCTTTTCGTAATGTTCTCTATCTCCTGTTTGGTCATGAATTCTTCTGTTCTCCATAGATCTGATAGGTAAACTATTCCTTGCTCTCCCAGTTTGCTTATAGCATCAGCCTTTATATCTAAATCATGAACTCATTTTGACTTTATTTTGGTAGATGGTGTAAGATTTTGGTCTATGCCTAGTTTCTGCCATACTCTTTTCCAGTTTTCCCAGCAGTTTTTTTTTTCAAAGAGTGGGTTCTTGTCCCAGAAGCTGGGGTCTTTGGGTTTATCAAATAATAGATTACTATAGTCATTGACTACTGTGTCTTGCATATTTAACCCATTCCACTGATCCACCACTCTATTTCTTAGCCAGTACCAAGCAGTTTTGATGATTACTGTTTTATAATACAATTTAAGATCTGGAATGGCTAAGCCACCTCCCCCTGCATTTCTTTTCATTAGTTTCCTTGATATTCTGGACCTTTTGTTCTTCCAAATGAATCTTGTTATTATTTTTTCTAACTCTATAAAATAATTTTTTGGTAGTTTGATTGGTATGGCACTGAATATGTAAATTAGCTTAGGTAGAATTGTCAATTTTATTATATTAGCTTGGCCTATCCATGAGCAACTGATGTTTTTCCAATTATTTAGATCTGACTTTATTTGCATGGTTTTGTAATTGTGTTCATAGAGTTCCTGGGTTTGTGTCGGGAGGTAGACTCCTAAATATTTTATAGTGTCTACAGTAAGTTTAAATGAAATTTCTCTTTCTGTCTCTTGCTGTTGGGCTTTGTGGGTAATATATAGAAATGCCGATGATTTATGTGGGTTTATTTTATAGCCTGTAACTTTGCTTTATTATTTCAAGTAGTTTTTTACTTGATTCTCTAGGATTCTCTAAGTATATCATCATGTCATCTGCAAAGAGTGATAGCTTTGTTTCTTCTTTGCCTATTCTAATACCATCAATTTCTTTTTCTTCTCTCATTGCTAAAGCTAACGTTTCCAGTACGATATTGAATAACAGTGGTGATAATAGACATCCTTGTTTCACCCCCGCTAATATGGGAAATGCTTCTAGCTTGTCCCCATTACATATTATGCTTGCTGAAGGTTTTAGATAGATGCTATTTATTATTTTAAAGAAGACTCCATTTATACCTATGTTCTCTAGTGTTTTTAATACGAATGGGTGTTGTATTTTGTCGAAAGCTTTTTCTGCATCTATTGAGATAATCACGTAGTTTCTGTTAGTTTTGGTGTTGATATGCTCAATATTGAACCAGCCCTGCATTCCTGGTATAAATCCTACCTGGTCATAGTGTATTATTCTTGTGATAAGTTGCTTAATCTATTTGCTAATATTTTGTTTAAAATTTTTGCATCTATATTCATTAGAGAAATTGGTCTATAATTTTCTTTCTCTGTTTTGACTCTTCCTGGTTTAGGTATCAGCACCATATTTGTATCATAAAAAAGAATTTGGTAAGACTCCTTCTTCACCTATTTTCCCAAATAGTCTATATAGTATTGGAATTAATTGTTCTTTAAATGTTTGATAGAATTCACATGTAAATCCATCTGGCCCTGAAGATTTTTCCTAGGGAGTTCATCAATGGCTTCTTCAATTTCTTTTTCTGAGATGGGGTTATTTAAGTATTTTACTTCCTCTTCTGTTAATGTGGGCAATTTATATATTTGTAAATATGTATCCATTTCACTAAGATTGTCAAATTTGTTGGCATATAGTTGGGCAAAATAATTCCTAATTATTGTTTTAATTTCTTCTTCCTTGGTAGTAGCTTCACCCTTTTCATTCTTGATCCTAATAATTTGGTTTTCTTCTTTCTTTTTTTTAATTAAATTAACCAAAGGTTTATCTATTTTATTGGTTTTTTCATAAAACCAGCTCTTAGTTTTATTTATTAGTTCAATAGTTTTCTTAATTTCAATTTTATTAATTTTTCCTTTGGTTTTCAATATTTCTAATTTGGTGTTTAATTGAGGATTTTTAATTTGTTCTTTTTCTAGTTTTTTTTCGTTGTATGCCCAATTCATTGATCTCCTCTTTTTCTATTTTATTTATGTAAGCATTTAGAGATATAAAACTTCCCCTAAGAACTGCTTTTGCTGCATCCGTAAGTTTTGGTATGTTGTCTCATTATTGTCATTCTCTTGAATGAAATTATTGATTGTTTCTATGATTTGTTGTTTGACCCAATCCTTTTTTAGGATTAGATTATTTAGTTTCCAATTATTTTTTAGTCTATCTTTCCATGGTCCTTTATTACATATAATTTTTATTGCATCATGATCTGAAAGGGATTCATTTAATATTTCTGCCTTTCTGCACTGGATTGTGAGGTTTTTATGCCCTAGTACATGGTCAATTTTTGTGTATGTGCCATGTACCACTGAGAAAAAAGTATATTCCTTTCTATCCCCATTCAGTTTTCTCCAGAGGTCTATCATTCCTAACTTTTTTAATGTTCTATTCACCTCCTTAACTTCTTTCTTGTTTATTTTGTGGTTAGATTTATCTAGTTCAGAGAGGGGGGAGGTTGAGTTTCCCCACTAGTATAGTTTTGCTACCTATTTCTTCCTGTAACTCCCTGAACTTTTCCGCTAAGAATTTGGATGCTGTACCATTTGGTACATATATGTTTAGTAATGATATTACTTCATTGTCTATGGTATCTTTTAGCAGGATGTAGTTTCCTTCCTTATCTCTTTTGATAAGATCTATTTTTGCTTTTGCTTTGTTTGAGATCAGGATTGCTACCCCTGCTTTTTTTACTTCAGCTGAAGCATAATATATTCTGCTCCAGCCTTTTACCTTTACCCTGTCTGTGTCACTCTTTTTCAAATGTGTTTCCTGTAAACACCATATTGTAGGATTATGGTTTTTAATCCACTCTGCTATCCACTTCTGTTTTATGGGAGAGTTCATCCCATTCACATTCACAGTTATGATTACTATCTGTGTCTTTCTCTCCATCCTTTTTTCCCCTGTTCCTGCTTTTCTTTCTCTTTTCTCCTTTCCCTCCCCACTAGTGTTTTGCTTTAGACCACTGCCTCCTTCAGTCCCACTTCCCTTCTATTAGCCTTTTCCCTTTTCTTCCCCTTTACCCTTACTGCTTCTTCTCTCCCTTCTATCCCCTCTCCCTTTTCTTTCCTCTTTTCCCTCCTACTCCCTGTAGGGCAAGTTAGATTTCTATACCTAACTGATTA